CAGATAAAAGGATTACATAGCTTTTTTTTAAATACCAAGTTTTAAAAAGAGAAACACTCGTTAAGGTAAATATATATTTATAAATTGATTATTATTGCAAAACTTTGGTTATGTAAAGGTTCAAAAAGTTAAAAAATATATAATTTTAATTAATAGACTATTTTAACAGAAAAAAGAAATGTAACTGTATGCCCGGCGTTACGAAAAAAAACCCGTCCAGTAGGTTCCAATTTTGATATTCAAATAGTTATACTTTGAAATGCTTATACCTATTCTTATGAAACAATGCTTTCTTAATTTCTTAATTTTACCTTTTAATCTTCTTAATGGCTTCAATATTCAAATGATTATATATTTAAACCCTAATAGTAATTTTAAGCTTAGAAACCTCACTTGTTTAATCAGCTCATCCTAAATCGTGGTATTATCTTTATATGAGGCCTCGTTTGGTGAATGGATTGGAAAAGATGCGGATTTTAGAATGTTTCATATATTTCTGGCAGTATATCTCACAATCTAACGTCCCAATTTTTTAAAAATAACTAATTGCTGTCTCTTATACACATCTAGATGTGTATAAGAGACAGGTGTTATATTACTCTCAGCTCTGTGTCTTTCTTTTTTCAATTTCAACTTCAATTTTATTCAATATTTGATAGGCAGCATAATACCTGTCTCTTATACACATCTAGATGTGTATAAGAGACAGCAATCATACTTACTTTCCTTGGCACTTATTTTGAACATTACCATTAGAAAAATGTTTAAAAATCCACACTATCCTATACCTTACACTTTTAAACTGATTGTACTGTAGGCCATACCAGAGAGAGAGGTTACGTTACATTCCCAATACATTATGGTCTTCCACTTCTATAGCACATGATACAGTGCATAGCAAACGTTATGTAACCACTAATAATACTCAGGTCCAGTGGCGTAGGTATGGGCAGTGCAGTCAGTGCACAGCACTGGGGCCCGGGGCTATTGGGGGCTCATTCAATAGGTATAATGATTTAAAAATTTAACTTTAAAAAAATCCTATTCAAACTTTAAAAGGACCCTTCAATAATATTAGGTTTTAGAGGCTATAGTTATTGATTATATTCATTACAATTTACCTATTAGGCCTACCTATTTCCCAAACACTGCAAGTAAAAAAAAAAACAATACAAGCCCTTACGTATACGATGGACTAATATACTTTTTGAAATCACATTTCTAAAGCAATACAATATCGTCACGCACATTTTGTGTTTGTGGTACAGTATTTTAAAGTTGGTTCAACTATTATTGTGTTCGTTTTCAAACACTTCAGATCATCATAACTTCATGAATATATTTTAGATTAAGTTCACTGCAAGTAGGTCGATGACTGTTCTATTATTGAATGGTAATTGTTATTATCGTGATGGAATATACAATACTGGATTTGCGCCAGGAGAATCAATTAGGGGGGCCTATATGTGTAATTTTTCCCAACCTGTCGTGAAAATGTACTGAATACTCAGTGCGTGTGAAAACACTTGCAAAATATATTTGCAAGTTGTTCTCCAATGGGACTCGAACCCACATTCTCCAGATCACTAGCCTGGCATCATGCCTTTAGACCACCGAGCTTGCACCTGATGGCCAGGGTTGAATTCGAGCCAAAGTAAGCAGCGAGTACTATTTTTGCAAGTGTTTTCACATGTACTGAGTATTCAGTACATTTTCACGACGGGTTGGACACAATTCCACCTATATGTTCTATTGATGTTGTAAATATTATAATATATCATAGATTCATGAAATGCTTAACAGGCCCTAAACGATAACATGACTTGACCATAGTTTGTTCTCAATATTCTTTAATTTTTTTAACAAAATATTTTTTAAATATTTCTTAGCGTTAATGCCGTACCGGTACCGTATCTGTTTTAAAAAACCTCAGAACGTATAAGCATTCAGAGTTTCGCCTGAATAGACCCCACTAGAGGCTCTGTCTCTATGTCCGATCAGGTGCATTTTTACCAATTTTACCTAGCGCCCGGCAGTTATCTATGCCATAGTTACCAACCGTCACGCATCACTTTAAAGTGATATTGGATGAAACGCATTTTGCAGAAACACATGCGAGGTCATAAATGTGTCACGCATTTAGCACTTGCGTGATAACGAATTATCACAAAATCAGGGGAAAACGTATTTGAAATTAGAAGAAATTGGTTTTATTAAAAATATAA